ACTGGAGGACAAGGGGGCAAAAAATATAAACAGTAGTATGGTACTAGAATTGGAGGTAAATGTTTGAACTCGTGGCTTTCAAGATAGATAGATGATAGGTGATAGACAAGCAGATAGACAAGCAGAAAGATGTAAGTTTATGCAAGTACATACATGCATATATTCCCCCTCTCTGGTTACCAAGAGGGCCTAAGCAAAGGAAAAACCTAAAAGCAATAAACATAGCTACTGGAACTCAGATTCCAAATACCATCCCTCACTAAAAGGAAACAAATTTCTTGAAGAAATGGCTGATTACTGGCCTGGGGCCGGGGAAATACAAAATTCGACTTGAACATCTCTTTGTGCCCCAAATGGAGAAAGTGCTCACAGAATGCTAGAAACATGGGAAAGTTTACGGAAGTTAGCTTGAAACCGTCCCCTCTGGCCAAATCTGAGACAATTTGAGTGTTAAAATAAATCATCATAGAAACAGATTATATCTATTCAAGTAAAATAGGAAACCATGTATCAATACTAATATAAATAAACAAATGAACAAATTAGAAGTTTGATGAGAACTGAAGTATTTGCCTAGTTTCAAGTACCTCCCCAGGAAATATGGACCAATTATGGTTGAAAGGCAGCTATACTCACCTCCATACCACCAATGCCACCCATATGGACCAATTATAAAGAGGGAGAGATTAATGTTACAGAGGAGAAGTCGGACCAATAATCAAGTGATGATCATTAGTAATAGGAAAAAATCAAAGCCGGGTACAACTTATTAGAACTGTTTTTTTAAAAAAGAATATAGCATCACACTTCTGTTTTGTTACCAGCCAAAAATTATATTACTTGACTCTAATATGATATATTACACTTTTGCCAGGTAAGTAGTAGATAATTTACAAAAGTATAAATACCATGAAAGTTAAAGAGACATGATAACTGCATGCAACTATGATCCCAGACTGGATCCTGCTTTTATAATGAACATTGCTGGAGTAATTGGAGAAACCTGAATAGGACATGAGAATTAAATGGTAGAAATATATTAATGTTAATTGCCTGAGTTTTGATGTTTTACCTTCTTTACGGAGGAGAAGATCTGTGTTCTAAGGAAGTACACAAAAGATTTGAGAAGGATGAGGTATCATGATGACAAGTTATACTCAAATGGTTCAGGTAAAAGCAATAATTATTTGTACCCTATCTGTAACTTTTCTGTAACGCGAGATTATTTTCAAAATAGTAAAAAGTCTATACACTAACTTGATAATCTACTTATAGGTTATTATTCTAAGGAAATAACTGCAAGGGATAGGCACAATATGTGAACAGATGATATGCAAAAATGTATGCATGAATAGCCATCATTTCTGTTTGTAACAGCAAAAAATTATTAATAAACACTGGCATGGAAAAAAGCCAATGATATACTGTTATAAAGTAGTAGTATGTACATTATCCTTCCACATGAAAAAAATGTTGAAACAAAATTGATAAGTGGCTGTGTGTGCTGGTTAATGCCTTTCCTCTACTCTTGGTTTCCATGAAAAAATATTTTACTGGGACTTTACTTACGTGCCCTTGGAGAGATGTTATGACATTTGGTAAATAAACTTAGGAATATGCTTGCGAAGAACTGCTGGGCATGCCAGTCTCAACTACCTCTCTCTCTCTCTTTCTTTCTTTGGAATAGAACAAAAAACAATTTAAATTTTTTTCAAAGGCACGGTCTCCTTTGAGGTTAGAAGGAGGCTGGGAACTACGTGACTGAGGCTGTTTCATTTCTTTGCTTTTGGATCTACCAATTCAAATCCGTTATCTGTCAGTAATGGAGTAATATTTTGCACTCATTTTTAACTTTTTTGGTCAATTTATTCCCAACCCGGGCATAAAGAAGGAATATTATTTTTCCAAGTCTCTCAGAGGCCTCAACAAACCTTAGAGCATATAGAGAAAATGTAAGCAATGGGTACTCCTGGTGATGGCAATAGGTGATATTTATTTCCCTTTGCAGTTGCTCTCCTATTTTTTCTTTTTTTGCAATGGTCATGTTTCATGTTCTTAATCAAGAAGATCAAAATAAAGTAATTCCTTCAGAATGACCGATAAAATTACAGAGGTTTGAAGGTAAATGTAACATAATAACTTTGGAACTCAGAGCCCCTTAGGAACTCATAGGGTATTTGGCCACTGTTACACATGACAAAAGGAATCATGTCCCCCTTTTAAGTCACATGACTGAAATTTTGATTTCAGTCTTGGTTTTCATTACAGTTTTTAAAAAGTTGTCAAATAATTTAAATTTTGGTTTTGTGAAATATAGGGCTAAACAACCAGCATAATTTTGTGTACTTTTGCAATAATCAGAAATAAAATTGTTTTTTTTAAGATAAGTAACGGGTAGTTTTTGTCTTAGCCAAGGTTCCCTTAGTTAGGGTAAGAGAATCCTAAAACTTGTTTGAGCAAGAACAGTAATTATAAAATTACTGGAAAGCTGCTGAGTTTCTATCAGGTCTGTGATGAATGCGAAGAATTTTCAAATGGAAGTCAGAGGTACTTGCAATAGGTAAAATGAGGCGTATTTCTCATCGTAGTGCCCCTGCTAGGCTTCTGCAACCCTTTTCTTTGGCATCTCCCTTCTTCACTTCCTGGGGCATGCTATAAATTTGCTTTTAAATCTTGTTCCATTTCATTTTATTGTTTTAAAAACTTGGTTCTGACACTCTTGAGATTTTTATACCTCTAAGCCATTTCACAAAGCAGATCATATCAAAAGTCGAGTTATAAAAATTATAAAGCAATAGCAAGTTTAAAGACTTTAAACAGTGGGAGAAAATATGAAAATGAGTACTCTTTAGCACTGTCTGCAACGATTGAAAAAAGACAGTTATGAGGACTCATCTGTCATTTATCCATTTATGTTGGATGTGCTTTGTAGCCGTATTTTTTCTCTCTTTAGGATCTTCCAAGTCTGGTGGATAGGAAAGATCTCTAAAGAGAAGGCTATGATATGCCTTTAGGAAACTGAAGATGAGGCTGGAGTAGTAAATAATTCCTACTTGGAGGATATAGGGTCTTATCTCTGAGAACATGGGAGTTAGTTGTGTAAAAGTTCAGATGACATTCAACACTGTGAATAGTAGGAAAGCATTTTTGAAAAAAGGTATCAAATTTTTGATATCTTCTTCTTACAGGTATCAGAGGCAAATAATGAGAAGTAAGTACATGGTATGGGATTTTTCCATTATTTCACAGGATGGAAAGTTTGATCTCTGCAGCCTGATTTGCTCTTTGGCCCTGAACTTGTTCAAGTTGAGTTGTGTGTCCTGAACACTAATCTAGTTGTTCTCAAACTAGGGTCAGCCAACCACAGTGGTATGTTGATGTATGGGAGTCTAGAGTTCTTTATTATAATCTTTTAATATGGTTAAAAAACCCAAAATATCTATCTGTAAATATATAATGTAAGCATGGATTTGTTCATCTCGTCAACTTCCTTATTCCTAAATACTGGACTACCATTTGTTTTATTTTCATAATAACATTGATAACAAATGATCATCTAAATAACATTATTTAATTTTTAATGATTGCTCACAAATTAATTGCTTAAGAGTTATTTACAGAAAAAAGCAACTAGCATTTGTCCTCAGATTAATGTTTTTAATATAATTATCTTTACGTGTGCTTGACTGTTGTGATAAAGGAGAAAACAGTGAAAAGAGGACTCTGGCACACGTATTACAAGGACTGATTTCTGGTATTAGCTCTAGTACCTCCAAACCATGAGATTTGGGGAAAGTCACTTAAGATTCCTAGACTTCAGTTACCCTGTGTTTAAAATAAGAGAGTTCTGTTAGAGCTAGCTAATCTGTAAACAAACATGGTTTCTATTTCAAAAATTGTGAAGTTATACCTTTTTAAATGGAAAAAAGCATTAGGGAAAAGAAAGCTGATTCAGTTATAGGGTCTTTGGGGGAAAATTTCTAGCACCACCCTCTCCTAATTACAGTAAAATGTGGTGGGATATAAGAACCAAATATCTATTGAATACTTTTTCTGTGCCTATCATGACTCTATATTAACTCCTGCAAATGTGACTGTGACTCCGTGAGCTAGATTATATAATTCCTGTTGGCAGTTATAATTGATAGGCACAGAAAGAGTAAGGATGGAGTTTGGAATGGAATCTGGCCGGTCTGACTCTAAGCCCTGAATCCATTGTGATACATTATAACTGCTAGCTTTGCAAAATGCCTTTTCCCTTTTCTCATCTATTTTCATACCCAAACTAAAATTTAGTAAACTAAATTCTGAGCAGCACCAAAAACTTCAGTCAAAGTCCTCGAATCCTTTAAAAACTTCTTATACGAGGATACTCCTTTTCGCCCCCTTTCCCACACAGAGCTTTACTAAGATCAACAAGAATGCACTGTGGTGTTTTCCCTCAAATCCTATACAGAAGTCTTTAATTCCGAGGTAAACATCTGAATGGAGCAAATGAGTATGATCTGGGGGTTGTGGCAATTTTCAAGTGTGTGTCTGTTTAAAGGCATGACAAAGTCCGGAGATTAAGGCCGACTTAAAAAACAAATGAGGACAAACCAGTCTGCTGAGATGCGGCCAGAGCAGCAGCAACCGTGTCTGCTTTCTTGATAAAGGCTGTGAAGAAGGCACGTTTTACTCATATTCGTGTATTTCTTTTGACATACTCCCCCTCTATGAAGCCTCAGAGGTGTTTTAAAAATTGTGTTAGGAAACATGCAGAGATAAGAAAACGCAAATGATCCTGGTCTAGTGTCTCAGGGAGAAGGCTGGAAAGGAAACGCGGTGCGAGTGGGGTGGGGGCAGGGGCCTGTGGTTTTGCTTCTGTCGAGGCTAAGGACAGGGTAAGGTAGGGCCCCTCCTTCTGCAGATGGGTTTCTCTCTCATTCCATCCTCTCCCCACCTCCGGTTCCGCGTGCACGCGCGGGATATCCCAGTGGGCCCACAGATAACGACCATCAGAGATTAAAGGAGGAAAGTCAGCGAGCTTAAACACAGGCGTCCCGTGTGGAAGTGTCCAAGGAGACCGCCAGAAGTGCGCAAGCCGGAGTCTGCGAGAGTTTCCTTCTCACCGAGAGGGGGAGCCCCTCGTTCCCAGCCGGGAGCGACCCGGAGTCCCGAGCCCCTCGTCCCAGCCGCCGCCAGCGCCAGTTTTGGATTCAGCGGATTAGGAAGAGGAGGGAGGGACGGGGGAGAGGGCGCGAAGAGGGAGGGGACCGAGGCTGGAGGGTCCCGAGTCCAGCGCCGTGTTGACGTAGAGAAACTTTCCCTCTCGGCCACGGAGACGGCTCCCCGGCCGTGCTGGAGCGGAGATCGCCGGGCTCGGAGGACCCGGCAGCTCTCCACGCCCCTGCCCGAAGCCTGACCCGACTGCATCTCTCAGTGAGGTACGGAGATTTATCTGGGCTCTTCTCTGGCTGCGAGCCCAGACTCCCTCCAGGTAGCGTGGAATCGCTTAGAAACTGACACCCAGAGGGGCGGCGGGGGTGGACAGCTCCGGCCCCCAGTGCCCGGGAAGGACGGCGCGGGGCTGCGCGTAGCCGCTTCCCGGCAGGTTGTAAAAAATTAGGACAGCTAAAGGCGCAGGGAGTCGTCCGACACGAAAGGAGGCTAAGACCTGTTGACGCCTGCTATGGCAGCGCTTGAGGAATGACGCGGGAGGCCGGCGAGGTCGGGGACGCAGCGGTCTCCCTGCTCCAAGAAGCCTCCTTAGCCTTTTGTGGTAACTTTGGTCCGCTGGCGGGGGCCGGTGGGCAGGAGCTGAGGGAGGCGGTGGGGCAACCGTGGATCAGTCCGGCCGAGGGCGCGTGGATCAGCCTGAGCTGAGCAGGCGAGTCACCGCCGGGTCACAGCGAGGCGACCCAGGAGCGAACTTCCAGGGCAGCCTCCCTTTTGTTGGCTCTGAGGGAGAATGGGGGCATGGGGGCTGGGAGGCGCGAAGCTCTGAGGCCCGGCCGCGGATACTTTAAAGCTCAGAGCTGGGAGGGCCCAAAGGAAGGGGCGGCGTCCACATGGTTACCCTTTTGCTGCGCGGGTCAAGTAGCTGCTTCTGGAGGGCGCAAGGCGCGGCGGGGGTGATGAGCTCTTGGGCTCTCGCTCCTGCTGCTGAATACGCTTGGCCGGGTTCACCTTTTCCGTGGCCTCACTCACTACACGGACCAGAATCCAGAGCTGTCAGTTCTCTATTCTGCGGCTCCCGCGGCTGCCGCGCTGACTTCCCCGTGTGCGGGAGGGAACTCTGGGCAGGCTGGTTTTCTTGGAATGTGTTTACGATGTTGAATGGGACTTGAACAGGAAGCTGGACGCTGCAGCTGGAACTAGCGTGCCAAGGTAGAGTAAGGAAGACTTAGCTAGTGTTGGACTTGGCGGGTCCACTTGGTACGCTGGGCAAAATCCAAGTGAGCGAGAGCTGGCAGTCAAGGTACCCCTCCCTAGGTCCTCGTAGTTTTTCCCAGCTGAGCTCATCTTACTCTCATTTGCAATCACACATTTTACATGCACTATTTCAATCTGCAACTTTGACAAAGCATAATGCAATAAATTAGGAAGGATTTAATATATTTATTTTGTGCCTGCTTTTAAAATATGTTACACCAACATTTGAGAATTAAAAGTTATGGAGAATGTAAACGTCATGACTCTGCTTGTTAATATCCAGGACTAGCAGGAGACCACAGTACTGGTGATTTTGTGTCTGTATTATGAAATGGGTGATTAGGTGCTAAAGTAAAGGAGATTATTAGACAGAGTGAATGTGAGGAATTAGAAAACTTTGAGAGGAATTGGAAATTTTTCAGATTTGCAAATTGCTTCCTTTCTCTGCCAGTCTTTCCCCTTTCCCCAATGTGAACAAGTAGCCTTGCTAGAAAACACACCAATTGGGAGAGTGCAGTCTCTGGTGACTACAAGCCTTGCTGAAAACAGCCCACAGGCTACGGTACTGCCCCACTGCATAATTAAAGGTCTCCTTGAGCTGTCCAGGAGTGTTTTCCAAGTTTTTACGACTGACAAGGAAAAAAAAGAGAGGAACCTGGCCGGCAGCCAAACTAGACTGAGCTCAGTAGCCAGGCTTGAAAGAGACTGGGGAAGTTGCAGGGGATAATTGGAAAGGGGCTGTCGGTTGTACTTGGGTTTAAACAAGAGGTTTCTTTTGCAATGAGAATTTTTAGGTGGCTAAGATCAGTCTTCTTGGAAAAAAAAAAAAAAATAAACTAAGCATAGAGTGCAGTTGGATATGACCGAGGAGATTACACAAAGAGCTCCAGGAGCAAAGTCTGAACTTTCCTTATCAGTGTTGCAGTGGAATACTTGGGGGCCTGATGCTGATTGTGCTGATCATACTTTCCAAATGCCCACACTTTGTTGCTATTAGGAGGTTTGCTGCAACTTCAATTCCTTGACTTTGGCCTTACTTTGTTTTCATAGCAGCAGGAATTGAAGACTTCGGGGTTTGAGCAGATGGTTTCTACCTAAATTGAATAATTCAATTAGGTATTCTCAAATAGCACTGATTTGGGTCATGGAATTAAAGTAGAAAACGTATCCACCATGACTTCTTTGTGTTTGTCAAAAGTGATCCTGATAAACAGATCTTGGTCTTTCATGTGAAGTAGAAAGTGAGATGATCTTAGTATTTCACACATTTGCCCAGTATTTAAGACTTTACTGCTTCCTAATTCCAGACCAGCAGGGAACTCAAAGCCTTAACTGCAATTCAGACTCTTCTTTATGTATTGAAGTTGTTTATGTTTCATCTCTCTCTCTCTCTCTCTTTTTTTTTTTTTTCTAAGAGGTTTGCTGTAGATTTACTATTGTGGGCTTAGGGGATAAGTGGTTAAAAAAAAGTACTAACGTGGTTTATATTTCCTCTCTATTTATGAGTTTGAGGTTGTGAATATCAGCCTGCTCTCTGAGACTCACTTTGTGAATCACCCTTAGCCAAGTGTTTTCCCTATGATTTCGGTTTTTCCACTTGCGAAGTAAAGAAACTTTCCTTTACATAATTACAGTATTATTGTGAGAATTAAAGAGAAGAAATAATGTTAATAGGCTTTTCGACATAAAGGTTATAGGGTTTCTGACTCATCTGACTCAGTTGAGTTTATGGGAATAAAATAGGAATACTTCTATGTTGAATACTCATGGAATAATGACATAGCTGGATCTAACTTATAAAAAATACTTTTACATTTTAATCATAGCTTTAATCATAAATTTTAATTTTTGAGGATATTGGGAAGATTTTGTTATGGTTAAGGCTGAGTCATTTTCTCAAACAGAAGAGAACAATTAGCAAATTCCTGTATTTTTATTTCGGTTTATATTTATACACAAGACCAGTTATTTTTAAAGTCCAGCTTAATTTTACCTTTATGAGAAGTTGCCAAATATATTCACAGAAATTGGCTCCCTTCTCAGAAATAATACTTGAGAGGCTGAAATATATTTATGGCATACATACAGACTTTTTTTTCTCAATGGCCACAAAAATTTCCTTAAGAATTTGGAGGATAGATTTTGGAGCCATTCATTAATAGATCAAACCAATGTTTGTTACATGCATGTTATGCATCATCAGTCCTGTATTCCAATCAGCACTGAGCTTCTCAGCTTTGTGATTTCTCTGTGCATGTTATTTTACTTCTTAAATATTTACCAACATATCATTTATCCTCTATATTTTGTCTATAATTTGTGAACCTGTTAATTTTTGATTCATGTAAAATCATTGTGAAATATTTAGTTTTTAGTTTGACATGTCAATTAGTAACATATACCAACTACTTTTATGGTTCATTGTGCTACAGTCATGGATGTTTAACTTACCCCTTTTTCAGGTGAGCAGGCCAATTTATTAGAGAAAAGAGAATAAGTATAGATAAATTGTTTATGGGATAAAATTTTTGCTAAAATACCTGTCATACTTTTTATTTTTAGACTTTATATTATCATTAATGGTGAATCTGTAAAAAAGCACAAGTAAATGGGATACATATGGGTTGAATTTATAGTGAAACTTATACTATTGGTATCCTTGAACAAGTGGCTGTTCAAGGATATATTAGGGTAATTTTAATATAAAATATCAATTTTTACCTTTCATTTTAAATTAGAAATCCTTAAAATCCTTATTGCCATTGATGAATGGTAGGTGATGTTAATTTACATTTTACTTAGCAGAGTGATGTGTTTGTGATTCAATCCACAGTATTCCAATTTGTTTTCTAAAACCTCTAAAGAATTAAAAAAAAATATTTCAGTTTAATAATGAATTCAAAGATAGTTACAGAAGCTAACTGCATGACTGCTATGAGCCCTGGTTCCTAAACGTTTTAGAGGCTGGTGGATCTAATAGTGTTTGCCTTAATGCATTTAGAGATCAGGAAACTTAAGCTTTTTCCTATAGGAGCCTAAAATATTTTCAGATTGGAAGAGGAAAAAATGGTATAAACTTTGAATGGAGAAATTGCTTCACTTTCAAATGCTGGAGATATGAAATTGAAATCAGGTCTTTATTTTTAAAGAGAATGGCTACAAGTCATTGTTACAGAGTAAGACTTAGAAAACAATGTTTGTACTGTTTTCAGGCCCTGCCATTTTCTAGTTTTTTGTTAGTTTTATGCTTAGGAAATCTTTTCAGCCACTCTAATGATGCTTACCATGTGTGATTATTTTTCATCAGAGGAGAGTTAATTGATTTAAATATTGTGTGGGACAATAAGCGTCAATTTTCTATTTCCACTGAAATGATATAGTTATGAAATTAGTTTTGTCATTCAATATTATATACTTAAGAATAGTTTTGAAAAGGCTGCTCTAATTTGCTCATATAATATGAATAAGTGAGTTAACTTCTATAAAAATTGTGATTTTTCTGTATATTTTTTGCTAAATTACAAAGATTAATATGTCTTTTTAGGAGTTTTGACTAACCTTGTATGTATTTTCTAGGATGCAACTAAGAGAGTGCATCTAGATATCAATACTTGCCTTTATATCATGTTTTTCTTTTTTGCTATTAACATTATATAAATGTACTTATACATCAGCTGTATCACATGCCTCCTGATAAAGTTCAGAGTAGGTCTTAGAAACTGCCATGTTTTAAGGGGCTACTTTCTCTGTCTCTCCCTTTGTCTCTGTGGTTCTCTCTCTTTGTCTCTCCCTCTCTGTTTCTTTCTTTCTATGTGTGCATATTTATGATACATATTATTCTTTGATGCTTCTCTATTTGTGCTACGGTTTTTCTGTAGGGAAAAATAGCTTCAGTTAATTGATATTTTTGAGCCAAGTTTTAACAATTAATTAAAAATATTTCCCAGATAAGTATTGCTAGAAATCCGTTTTTTTCTTTTTCCAAATTCTAAAAGTGTCTTTAGACTTTTAT